CCACTTCTCCAGCTTGTCTAGGAGTAGCAGTACAAAGATGTACTATATACGATAACATATTAGTGAAACCATTCATACTGTCCAGTTCTGGTGTCCAGCTGTCACAGAAGGTGGTCATTTGGAATGAGCTCAAAAATCTCAAAATTTAATACGAAGGGTGGAAGCCTTGCCTTTCAGAGAAAAGCTGTAAGAGCTTTTGTCTGTTTTGATAGAATGTTGAGTTCTGTGCTGAAATGCTTACATAAGAAGAGGATGTCTTCTAGGATAAGGATTTTTATACAAGCAGATAAAGATTGAAGACACTATCTGTAGACTGAAGCTAGTCACAATTAGACCAGAAGGAAGATGTTGATTTCCAGCTCTGGTAGCCAAGTGCATTTCAGGGCCAGTCATCACTTTACAAGATGGTGAGATAGATTCCTTATTCTTGATTTTTAAGGCAGATTGTGAAAACTTTAGTGGTAGTGTATGTTCTTTCAGATGTGTCTCTGATACACATGACTTCTGAGTTTTGATGAGTCCAAAGAAAATACTGTTGTTAACCACAGAGTTACATTTCTTAGAAGGTGAAGAAAACATCCTCGTTTTTTTTGCACTGTGAGAATTTTATTGGATGTTTAATTTTAAAACTCAGGTCACTGAAGAGAATAAGTAAAAAATGAAGTGGGGTAAAAATCCTTTCCAGTCCATGAACAGTAGATATGAAGAGTTCAACCTTAAACAATTTCACCACCAAAAATGTATAAGCATTTTAATTCTGACTGCAATATAAACTCTTGATGAACGGCATATATAGCCCTACTTGAAAACCCTGCAGTGCCCGTCATTGTTAACCTTGATGCTGTAGTGCTTAGCTTTAGAAACATTTTGCACTGTGGTCTTCTCAATGTTTTCCACATTTGATCGTCTGTCATTGGGCTAAATATGAACAGAATCTTGATTGAATCTCGATGGAAGATTTTACTTTATTTCACTGAGACCATGATGAGGTGTTATAGGCCTACACCTCAGTAACATCTGGAATAATATCCTGAACTACTTTGATGGTTTCATGTAGTGAGAAACAAAAGGCATCACATCAGTGCTCCAAGGATAAAATTTAGAATTGACTACTTCTTCTTTCAAATGACTTTTAAGTTGTTAATTTTTTAATTTAAGATCCCATGGTGGAAGTTTTATTAGATTTGCTTTGTGGAATTATTTACCTATTGAATAAAATTATTGTGTGGTTTGTATGTGATAGAGTAGAACAAATAAAATAATCTTGAACTTTCAGGAACTTTTTCATTCTGAAAGAAAATCCAATTTTTAAGGCTACTAATAATCATGAGTGTACTTAGTCAAGTAATTTTGTATAGCATAATCAGAGTAGAAATACAGCTATAAACCTGTTATTACCTTTCTATTTTTTCTTGTTGCAGTTGTGGAAAGACAAAAATTGGATGCTTTGCCTTTAAACAGGAGTCCTAATTTGCTTTCAGCAATACAGCTGTTCCACTTTGTCCTCAGTATTGCTCAATCTGTACTCGTGCACAGTGAGAATGGTATAAAAAAATTCCTTGCCTATCTCTCTGGACAATTTGCACAGTTTTGCTGTTAAAAGTGAAATAGCTTGTTTTCAGAAGATAGACTGTAGCAGCAGTATGCAGTGATGGAATTAGTGTCTCTATGTGGTGTCTTTATAGCATATTAAAGTTAACTGGTTTGATTTTGAAGACCTGATCTATGAGTCAATACAAATACATCTATGGTATAAGTTGTTTAATTCTGTCCATGTTTAACTGAAGAATGCATTCAGAATGTGTTTGACAGCAATGGGAAATACCAGGGTCGTAGTCATACTGTTAAAATATTTTTCTGTGAGCTTGGATATTAAGAAAGAATTAATGTTATTGTACTGCTGTGATGTCGATACTGTCTTAATAAGGTTCATTACATCAAAATATGCAGTAAACCACAGGTGAGATGAAGTTACATGAAAAAGTTACAAATGTTGAGTAAATTTTAGAAATCAATTAACAACTTTCCTGCTAGTATTGTTATTTTCTTTTGAGTGAACAATGTCTGTGCATCATCATGCAGCTGGGAAATTTTAAAATTTGCATAAATTTGTTATTGATTTTTATCACATGTTGAGTTTTTGTTTAAGAAATGAAGAAACATTTACAAGTGTTGGAATAGCTTCATACGTTTGTTCTTTTAAGTTAATGTACAAAGACTATAAGTAAACCTATTTTGGGCTGCCCTAAGTCTCTACACTTGATAATTCATAAACATACACTCTTTTGTTGATAATTTTAATTGACTGAGCCAATATGAACATACATTTGGATTTAAGGCATGCCTATCAACTGATAATTGTGTTTTAATATTTTGATACTTTTACTCCTATACAAAATATTCAAATATTTGTTGCTGGTATGCCTGTATTGGGAAATATAATAAATACTCTGTAAATTATATTGAAGAAATTCTAAGTCCAGTAATTGATGAGAACACAACCAGGAACCGGACTAATGGCCCTTAATCGCAGAGGTGAGCAGTCCTTTAGAAATGCCAGAAATAATGGCCATTTCATCCCACCTCAGTGATGCCCAAAGAATAACATCTTCAGTGAACTGTTCTCTCAATGTTGTCTGTAGGGGATATGTGAGGTTGGAATAACTCATCTAAACTCATGCTAGATTTAGTCTGTTTAGTGTCTTCAACTAAAGGTAGTTTAAAATAGTTATTCACATAGAATCATAGAATCTTAGGGGCTGGAAGGGACCTCGAGAGATCATCTAGTCCAACCCCCCTGCCAGAGCAGGGTCACCTAGAGTACATCACACAGGAACTCGTCCAGGTGAGTTTTGAATGTCTCCAGTGAGGGAGACTCCACAACCTCCCTGGGCAGCCTGTTCCAGTGCTCTGTCAGCTGTTATGATGTACAGCTTGGTGCTATGACTGCTTCCCTGGGGAGTCTGTACAGCCAAGATGGTTGAACTGTTTTTGTCAAGCAGTTTGAGGTGACTGAATTGTTTGAAATGCCTATGAATGTCAAGCATTTGCTCATTTAAACAGGTAAAACAGTTCGCTTTGTTGTGAAGTTGTCTTAGATTTTATGGTTTGTCCCTAAGATACTGTATCTAGAAATGTAAGACAGTTCCTTCCTGCAGCGTCTACCACAAATCCTTCAGGTGTGTTTTGCCCCTGAATATGGGTTGTTTTTTTAAACTTTGCTAAGGGTGTCCTGGGGTAGCTTTCTCAGTTGGGTCCACAGTTCAGAAAACTACTGTAACATTAGACTGGTTTGTAACTCTTTTCTTTATTAGTTAATAGTAACAAAAATAAAAGCAAAATGTTTTACCTATTTTAATATACAGACATTTTATGTCTCTGTTTTACTAATCTGTGGTATACTATTTTTGTATCTGGGACAACGTATTCAGTGAAGTATATCTGGTCTCAAGTGTCTGCTACAAGTTTTTAATAATTTTCTCCTAAAAATTGATACAAAAATGATCAGATCTTATTTAAGAACTGAGGTTTTAGCACATGTAGTTCTGTTTACTTGAGATATGTTTTCCTCTTAAATTACTGAATGCCCCTCGTAAATAATGCTTAGTTATTAGGTAGTTGATTGTATAATGGATATCATAACTTTGATTGAAAGATCAGTTGTTCCTTTCTCACGGTTTACCTTCTCTGTTTTGTGTAGATGGGTAGCCTTGTTGATCTTGGTGAGAGTGCTATATTGGATGTGTTTGTAGAATCAAAAGCTATAGCCTCTAAATTTCTGATTTTTACTTTTTTTTGCGTTAATGTTAAGAAGTCTGGATTTTAGGTATGGACTTCAGGTGCTTTAGCAGACTGATCCCCTAAGCTTAGTGTGGTGTAATTGTATTAATTATGTTTTCAGTATTATCTTTAACATGGCATATCCTTCTTGCATAAAAATGAGGGACATGTATAACGTTTGAATGCATATTTCCATTTTCTCTGATCTTATTGGAAAAGTAGAATGTAATCTGTCAATTAAGAGCAAGTTGTAAAGGGGGAAGATTACACCTCCTGTGACTGTATTCCTAAGAACTCAGAATAACTTCTCTCACCTGTATCAGATTCCTATTGAAGTAAAAGTAGCAGAATGCACAATAAATGCCTAATTTGTATAAAATGCATATATACATATGCATATATGTGCATAAACATACACATAACTAGTAATTCACTGTAAGAATTCCCAGCTAGAGAGTCTCTTAGCATTTTTGAAAGTCTATTTGTAGAATTTTTTTTCTTGGCTATATAAATTCACTGTGTCCTCATTTTTGTGTAATGCACGTTACCTCCACATTGTGGTAAACTGGTCTACTGACTTTGCTCTTAAGAGTATCTATCTGAGAATAAAAGACTTCCATATTTCTTTAAATGAAGAAGTCTAAACAGTGTTGGTAGATTCTGAGTCAATTGAAGCAGTTATCTCTAAATAGAAAATAAATTCATTGCTGGTTTTAAGTATCCTGCTTACCTTTGTCTATAAGGAATGGATAAGAGCTGAATATTGGGGTAGGAAGTAAGGCTTGTTTCAGGTTTGATTATTAAGAGTATGATGTGTCTAAGAAATCCTGAAAATTGGCAATGGCCCATTTGCTTCTTATCCTAATAAGCTGACCTTCCTGGTTCAGTGTATTTAGATGTTAGTACACACAGATAGATACATACTTCTTTACATTACGAGCAGTCTTAAACAAAGTGTTCATAAAAATATAATTGAAAAATTCTGCTAACCAACATACCAAATATTTTAAAGCATACTGGTCAATTGTTACGACATTGCTTCCAGTCTTCTATCTGTTGCATGATGGCAGACATGGTGTTTGCAAGTTCCAAAGTTTGTCTTTGCTTTCATCTGATATTTTAAAAAATATAGCAATGCATTTTTTGTTTTTGTTTGCTTGGTTAGTTGGCTTTTAACAGAATGTTTGTTTTAAATTATAATACCAAATTTTAAATTACATATGGATAGGCGCATCAAGTATGTGTTTTCACAGCCTAGTATTTTTTTTATATTTTATGTTGTTTCTTATTTAATTTCACAACATTTTGAGATTTATGTTTTCATAGAGTTTGCTGCAGTGAACATTAAATCTGCTACTGTGTTAGTAACACCTGGAAAGTTAAGTTCAGAAAAGGCTTTTACATAGGACGGTAAAGTTGTACTTGGATTTCTTGTTGCAAAATGAGGTTTTCTGCATACAAAGATCTGAGTAAGTTTGGGAAGTTTATTGCTTTGTTTAGGTAGTGCTTATAACTTAGCTGAACAGTATAGGTAATTGAAAGTTGCCAAGAAATCAGTGTATTTTAACTGAATGAGTTTTGATTTTTGAAATGTGAAGTGTGTGTAGGACTGTAACTTAGATTTTAAATAGGTAAGTTTTATCTTTCAGCATTAATAAAGTTGTTTGTTTTTTTTTTAAGTTGTTGGGTTTTTTTAATAGCCTGCATTTTTTGTCTTTTTATTGTGTTTTAGTCCAAATTTCACGGTCCTTAATGCAGTTTAGCCTTGTTCTGTTCTTCTGTGCTCTAAATGAAACAAAACATGGCAGGGGAATTCTGCCACGAAAATGAAATAAACAGTGCTGAGAGCCTGGCTACTTTAAGAATGCTTTATATTTTAAAATTGTCGTTATGTTAAGTATCTCATCTTTCTGGAATAGGACTTCAACCATGCTGTTTCGTTAATATTGTGGGATTCATTGTGCCCAAACCAGCCTGTTAAGTCACTGTTTCTGAGTTTGGTAAGAGTGGAAAAGTGCATTCTTGAAGCAGAATACTTTACATGTACATTGTTTAAGACTAAAAGCTTCTTTTATATAGATTTGGTTCAAAAAGCAGTTTGAGGCGGTTTTGTGACTGTTTTATTAAGTGTTTCAAATTTGAGAAAGAAATTGTGCGTTGCAAGTTCAAGGACAAAGTTGAGTACAGAACAATTTCAGAAGAGGTAGCAACTCATAGTAGTGATTACTCTTGAGCAGCAGTAACAGTTGTGGTAGTAAAATAGGTATGAGACACGTGTTGTATTGTCAGGTTGTCAAGGTTCATGCTCCAGAGTACAGCTGGTATTGATGCAGTAAGGAACAAACCAAACTTCTAGCACTGGCTAGTGCTATATCTACAGCAGTGGAGGCACAGCTCTGTCTTTGCTTTCTGTGTTGCTTGCTTAGGGTAATTACAACCTAAGGTTAGGAGTAATTTGTTCTCAAATTCATTATTACTGTTCATTTAATCATATTTTGAATCAAGACTGTTTACAATGCGAATTAGGATGCTCTTGCCATAGGTGTTGTAAAGCTTCCTTTCAGACCTTAGTGTTTAAAGGAATGTAAGGAAAGTAAGCATCCAGAAGTCTGTGGTGATCTTGTGTTTCTTCCTCTTGCTTTCCAAAGGATTTTTACCTGTAGATTGACACACTTAAGAGTACATACTTTATAAACTGCAAAACTGGGGCTTATTGAGACTGTGTTGACTACTTCCACTTACTGAGTACTACATAGAAGTAATTCCTTCTATACCAGCAGTTTGGTAGCAGTAGTTCTGGAGGATTACTCCAGGCTTGATCTGTGTGTGCAAGAGAGGAAAACTGGACTTGAGAAGAAGAAATAAGTAAGACTTACGTATCTTAGGTTTGTTAATTCTTATTGTAGTTACATCATTTAGAGGCACAAATTTGAGGCCCCACTAATGTATTTAATGTATTTTTTTAATCTGTTCAGCAAAATGTGTATTCAAGGAATGTTTTGTACTTATTTGGTTACAAGAATTGTGGGTGTTAGTGTTTTTGTTCTGTGTTTTTCTGTAGTGTTCATGAGTAACTCCTACAGAATACAGAATAAAGCTGTATGTATTAGCAGATTAGTATTTGAATTACCAGGAAATTCTGAGATGTCTTAAAGATTCAGTAGCATATTATTTGTATACAAATAAGAGTTCAGCAGTCAAATCCTGGAAAATGAGGATTACCTATGATCTTTCCTTTGACCTAGTGTTTCATCCTGAACATGATATTCTCACATGTACTATAGTCGTAGCAAAAGGGTTGTTACAGACCAGACAGAAGGAGATGGATACCTTTAGAAAAGATAAATAGTTAAGGTGGTGTCTTTAAATAAATAAATTATCTGAGTCTCACTGAATAATTTTGGTATCTTAATCTTTAAGAAATTCTGGACAAAAATACATAAAATGTTGGATTACTGGATTTAGTAAAAACCAGACTGGCAACAATTTAATCTGGGTAGAAACACTGTGGAGCTGAGTTTAGAGATATCCCTTTCTATGGAAGTGTGAAGTTGATAATTGTATGTAGGAGGAACATCTAGTACTGCCTCAAAAGCAGAACATTTACTGTATGTGTTGATACTCACTCAAAGGAAGAAAACACTTAGTCTCTGGTTCTTGACAGGATGTCAGAGTTTTAAAGTTTTTCAACTTGCATGTGAATGTTATAAATAAAACTCCAGCAGGAAAAAAATATTTTACTAAAAGTTATCCCTTGTGTCATAAAGGACTGTTTCTTTCTAAAGATTTAGCTTTAATCTCCTGAGTTTACGACTGGAGAACAGGAATTAAATTAGTGACATTTTATGCTAAAAAGGGAAGTTCTTTTAACTTGGCGTTTTTCAACTTCTGACATGTTGTATTGGCAGTCTTGGAAAACTGTACTTGCCCACTGTGGCTAGTGGCATCTTTAATTGCCCACAATTAAAGTCCTTATTGGTAACAGATACTGATAATGGTTAGCAGACTAGACAAAAACATTCTCCATTTTGCAAGGTTGATGGATACAAATGTGTTAGTATTTATTAATTGGTACTGTAGGAAGTAGTAGCATGCCAATAATTAACTTATGTGTCTTCTTTCATTTAAGGTATCTAGTGGATAGTCGCTGGTTCAAACAGTGGAAGAAATATGTTGGTTTTGACAGCTGGGACAAATACCAGATGGGAGATCAGATTGTGTATCCTGGTCCTATTGATAATTCTGGACTTCTCAAAGGTAACTGCTTCTGATTGTGTAATAAGCCAATACTAACATTTAGTGCAAATTTGTCACAGATTGTTCATCTTTTGTAGTTGATAGTGTAAATGAATCACAGCATTTATGAAGATGAAACTTTGTGTTTGTTTGTTTTCAGACAATGATAAGGGAACTGGAATATATTTCCCTAGCAAATTACAGTTTTTAAAATTATTGGAACTTCTTTGCAATTGTAACAGAATATTTAGTAATGTACAAATTACTGGTTCATAGTATTTTGGGATACCTTGTGAGTCAAGTTGACAAATAGCTAGCCTGAATTCACAATGATTTTTGTAGCTTATAACTAAACTGGTTGATTTAAAATGACAAGGCCTCAAGCCCTTACTTTGATTCTGGAACAACTGAAGAAGAGGTAGTATGCAGTTCAGCAATAAAGTGGCTTGAAATGATAAAGGATAATTTCCTAATTTTGTTATGGGCCTCTAAGTGTGATTAAACTCTGTTATTGTTATGATTTCTTAGGTGTGATTGACTTCTGCTGAACTGTTGTCAGATTAGTGGACACAAATCTCAGAATACTTTCCCTGATACTTTAATCTGTAGGTGGAATTCTGCATTTAATTTCCAGCATGGAAATACCATTAGAGCCATTAATGTTTAATTTGTAAAATCTAGTGGTTACAAATTTTATCCTGGTATCCTTCTTTGCAGTTACAGGTAATATTAATAATAGTGCATGATTTCTTTGCACATAGTACTACAAATTTTTACAACTTTATGGGTTTTATGATGAAGTCTGACTTTCTTAATTTGAACCTTCTCAACTGTAATAAATATCATTATTTTACAAGGTAAATGTTAAAGATAATTGCCACTTTCATAGGCCTTGTCATACCATGTTGAACTAGTTGTCATTGTGAGCGTGCATGTCTAAAAGTGACTACTACCAGTGCCTTTGAAGAAAGTGCTGTACTGTCATATACATCTATCTGTATATTGTCTTCCATTCACAAATTTAAAGGTCTTTTTGCTCCAGGTGAGCGACATGTTCTGAAATGTGAGTATCTACATCTTTGGTACATTTTTGTAATAAATCTTACAGTAAGGTGGGGATGTTCAGGTGGTATTTTTCTTGTCAACTGAAATCAGATGTAGCAAGATCCCTTTTATCCTCAGTGAGGCAGCATGAGCTTATTCTCTCTTCTGTGTCTACCCATTTTTATTTGTTTTTAAAGGTGATTTACAGGTGAGTTAAAGCGCTGTGTTAGTTGTTTTGTGTTATTTATAACTTAATATACACACATCTTCAGATTATGTTTAAAGTTGCTGAGAACAGGAAACCTGTTAGGGTTAGTTGCCCAGATCTTACACTCATGTTAGTGCCTTTGATAAAAATTCCTTGACACTGCCCATATCCCTTTCAAAATAAATACAGTATTGGGGTATATGAACTTAACTTTTGCTCATTTATTGTTCTAAAACTATGGCTTTGCATTGGTAGTGATATCATTTATCCAGTTACTGTCTGACATCTGCTGTTCCTTTGTTAAGGCAGGTTTAAAATTAAGGGGCACCTACTGCTAAGCAGCAATCTGCTGTACAAGGTTTCCTGTGTAGCATAAATTGACCCTGAAAATGCTTGGTTTTAATTGGCTCTTTGGCATGTAGCCAGCACTAGTTACTCTCATACTGCTCTCCTTAAGTGTTAAGTCTGAAAATTTGCATCTGATTTAACAAATGTAAAATAATCTAAACCAGGCATGCTTTCTCTCATATTCTGAAATGTAATTATTAAATTCAAGAAAGACTGATTCCAGGTGACTGAAGCACTTTGTTGCACTTCCGTTACTTAAACGCTGCTCCCTTATTTCCATAAGATTTGAACAAAGTGACAGTGGTGAAGAGTAGCAGGCAGAGATTTTGGTCAATTTCAGTATGCAAAAATGTTGTATGTAACAGAATGCACATGTGCTATCTTCAGAAGAGATGTACAGTCAACTTCAGAATAGCAAAGCAAACACAGGAAGTAGTTACTTCAAATAGCTGATTGTTGAGAATAGAAAACAGTGTTGCTTATGAGGGACTGAGTTGTCAGAGTCAGGGAGCTTCTTTGATGGAATACAGTTCTGAAAAAATTAAGCTGGAAAAAATGTTGAGGGGTCTAGAAAGACAGAATGGAATCCAAATTATGTCTTCTCACGATGAACTCCTGTAGCAATATCAGATTAGTGCAGAAATACAGTATGAATTTTTTAAGAGATACGTAAACCTGAAGATGTTTTTATGGATTTGTCCCCACATCTTGCTCCCAATTATAATGGAACCACCACGTGCATAGTGTTGAGTGAGCCAAGTAAGAACTGATGGTGCACGTCATGAACTGCTTCATCAAATGTTTCATGGGTATAGTTCTTTAGGTAGATTTTTTTTTTCCTAATCAGTCACGACAATTTTGAACCAATATTTGTGTCTTGAAAATTGTTATAGGTAGGATGAAACTGAGTGATGGGAAAAAAAGGAAGGTACCTTTTAAAGAGATGTATTGATGCAAATTTCATTTTTAGGTCGCATTAATTATATTTATCTCCATGAAGAACTGAATGTTTATTTCACTGTATATTTCAATAAATATTCATCAAGATGATAGTGTAAAATTCCATTGGTCCCACAGTGGAATCAAAGTCTGAGGTTTTCTTCCACTTTTCTTTGTTGCTTTCTGTGTTGCCCTTGTGGTTTTTTTCTTGCTAAAATTGCAACAAATACTTTAGCTACTTCTGAACTTCATTATCCCCTTTTCTAAAATAACTTCATAATTCAATATTTACCTGGCTGTATCTTGGTATTTTTGTTGTTGTTAGGGGTTTTTTTGTTCAGCTTTTCCCACACTGCCAATTTTTATTGGAGAAAATGCATGCAAGTATTATTGTCCTTTCTTGATTGCATGAGGTCATCTCTAAAAGGCATAGATTGCATATTATGGAAAGAGTATCTTGTTGTGATCTTTGAACAGCTAATGGTGGTAACAAATATTACACTTAAAATACATCAACTGGGAACAATATGCTTCTCCCACATTTTGTCACACAACAAGGTTCTTAGCTGAAGAAAGAAAGGGAGTCAGCACCAGTGATAAGGTAATAGGAGCAGAACAAAGCTTGCATCCTTCTTTGCCCATATTTTCACCATTTGAGTGATAAAGGCAAAACCTCCTGTTTTCTCTTAAAATCGCAAACCCTTAAAACTGACCGGAAGTGTAGCAAGTACAACTAGAGATTTCTAGAGTCTTGGTAAGCTGAATTTTGTTTAGTGTTCCCACCAGGAAATGAACACATCTCTTAAACATCTCTTGTAAGTCCTGGGTAGTGTTGCACTCTAACTTAAAAGGTCGTGTTGAAAAACATTTTGTTAAATTCTTACTAAAAATATTCGAATAGTTATTATTAAAGGACCTTTAATTTTCAAGTGTCCCTTTTTTAATGGTCAGGAATAAAAAAAACCTTAATTGAAGTGATATTATGCACTGTTTGCTAAATCTGTACAAAAGAGAAACAAGGAGAAATATGATCATATGAGAGGACCTTAGTGCTTTTTATATGCACTTAGCATGCACTTAGTTTGGTCCTTGCAGAAAAATGTAGGTAAGAGTACAGATTTTGCTTAGAAGTATTACTTAAAAAAATAAAGCCAAGAGGAAGACCAATAGTTTAAGTGATTTGAGATTATTTAAGGTTACTTTTATGCTCAGTTGTAATTGTGCAGTGTGCAGTTCTTCAGTTAGTCACATAGGACAGTGAAAGGAAACAGGCTGTATATCTATTACAGTCTATTATTCTTTATACATAGTCTTTCTATTTTCATACTTCATTAAGTTTGTCATCCTGATTCAGTCTTTGGAGCTGAACGTGTGGGTCTCCCTGTTTGATGTTCTGCTATATAGAGGGATGTTTTCTGGCCTGTAGTTGGGTACTTTAAAAGAAAAAGGCAGTTGCCCTAATTGTCCAAGCCTCACAGTGGCTCAGATCTGAAATCACTTCTTCCACATCAAGGATAGCAGCTATGTTGCTACTGTAAAAAAGCAAAAAGCATGGTACTTACATAAAAAGGTTGTCAACTTGTACTTCTTTCAAGTGCTGCTTCTCACTGTCCCTCCAAAGAATTTTGCAGGGTCTGTGTTTCCAGACCATATAGGATTCTTTCAGGAGGAGGGTTGTACCGTGTTATTTTCGCAGTCTGACATGGAGTGAATTACTTTGAACTTTGTCTTGGATCTACTGTAACTGCCCATTCCTCCATTTCCAGTGAAGCATGCAACTGTAGCATGAAGTGGAAGTGTCCATGGTGATCTGGGAATATGTCTGAAGTGGCTGGAGAAATGGATTGATTTCTCTGAAGGCTATGATGGTGTGTGATAACGAATTAGGTACTTACAGATGCATGAGGAGTTGTCTCTTGAGTTCCTGAGTGTAGGAATACTACCTGTAATAGGTGTGCTATGCATGAACTGGAAAGCTTGCCTGAATAGTTTCAGAAGAGTTTTGCTTTGAACACCACGATACTGATAGTGTAACTGTGACTCAGAAAATATTTTGTTTGCTGTTTATATGAAAAATGTTCCATTAAAACCTCAAACAACAGAATAACAGTATTCAAGTAAAAATAACTTTTGTCTTACAGATGGTGATTCTCAGGCTCTCAAGGAACATCTCATTGATGAGCTGGACTACATCCTTTTGCCAACTGAAGGCTGGAATAGGCTAGTTAGCTGGTACACACTGATGGAAGGTCAAGAACCAATTGCACGCAAGGTACTCTTAAATTACCCACTGGCATGAGTATGATTCAGATACAGTCCTGCAAATATGCAGGAGTCGCACAGGAATTTTTTAGAAGGTTGTAAGTCCTGGTCTGTGATAATCATATAGACAACTACTGCTTTGGTGGCTTATAGATAATCTAGTTTTTATTCAGTTTTTAGTGACTTACGTTTTTAATACGTAGAAACAAAGATGCAATGGATCTAATACTTATTTTCTTCTGGAAGTAAACCCTCTAGTATTTCAAGAGGAACTTGCTTTAGAAGCTGGTAACTCTATTAATGCAAATTATGCTGTACATACATATAAAACCCTAAAACTGTATTGACTATATTAGTGAAAAGCTTAGCTCTAATACTGTTAACACTGGCAGAGTAATTGGTAGTTCCTATTCTGATAAGCACGGTCTACTATGTTCAGCAG